TTTCGAAATGTTAATCTTCGTTTATTCATTATTATGCATCAAAAAAGCCTTTTACTGGAAGGTTCTCGTTATATTTTGAATAATAAGGTATAATGCAGTGTTTAGGAAGTAGAACAGACCTTTTTAATCATGAACATGCCACTAGTTCAACCCAAGAATATAGGAGATTATGCTCTAAAAATAACAAGACAATGGTTTATGAGTAGATGTATTATAATTCATCCTTTTGTACAGTCTTTAGGGAACAGAATTTGACGACCTTTGTAGGACTTTCAATAAAAATTAATCTAAAAACTTCTTTATCATCGAAGAAATATTTACACATATTTATGTTTATCATTTATGTCTTTAGTAAATGAAATCAATTTTCCTCAAGACCTCTTTACACCAATGGACTTTGGGAAATTTGAGTTGTCCGATCTCTTGGCGACCTCCGAAAGCCTGGATAAGTCTCTTTCTGTGTAAAAGTTACAAGGAAATTATAATGCGTTTGTTATGCTATAAAAATGCAACTTATTTGCACATTTCATAGCGATCTGTCGAGATCACTGAAAGCGATAAAGGAGTGTTTACTAAAAGATTCTTAAATCTAGAGACTGATGGTTACATTGGTTTCTGTTTGCTTTTATACCAAGCGACGTCATTGATCGGTCTTTAGAGGTTGCTAAGAGGAAGAAAAGTAGTGAGAGAACCTTAGGCTTTCAAAACATTTTCTTAAAATCATTGAAAGATCCAAGAGACTATTGGGCAATTTTCCTGCCCTATTAGAGCGTTCTTTGAGAGATTCATTATCTTTGAGATCGTTAAGAGACTGTCAGGTGTTTTATGAGGAGACAGTGGAGACTGGAGACACCTCTGGAAATTCACTGAAAGATCATGGGCGTTGTGATGGACGAAAATTGAAAAATGTCTGGCCAACTCGCAACGCCGAGCAATCTCTAAACGTTCTCTTCCTTTGTAAAAAATAGGTTATAGATAAAACCACAAGGACTTTACGATGTGATCAAACATGGTATTTTTCCACCTCTAGAAGGACATATTTTCTACTTGTTCAAAAATGTAGTAAGAACTTACCAAAGTGTTAAGTAGTTATCTTTGTTAAACTGTTATTAATAGTAATAATGAATGTGAAACAATCATTACTATGTTAATGAACTGACAGATATGTTTAATACTTTGCAAATACATGTCGTATAGATCTAGACTTTTTCACCTTATTTTTTTCTTTAATCTCCTTTTCCACTTTTGATTTTAAAAGGAGTTGAAAAGCTTTTAGTAATGCGAAGGAAAACAAAAGCGAACGATCAACCTGCACGTTCAGAATTTTTTAAAATAAATAATAGTACCTGAATTTTAGTAAAAAAGTGATCGGGATTCACTTTCAATATGGACAAATTCAAAACTTTAACACAGAAAAAAGGGAGGGTCCATATACAGTAGAAACTAAACATGAATTTAAGAGAAAAATGGCTAGGTCTGAAGGTAATTGACTGAAGGGGGAGGGGGTATTTCGATGAGGTTATAGCGATTATGCTATTGTATGAATTTAAACTTATCAACTTTTAAATTCTAATACGAAGGATAAGTTGGGGTGAGGGGGATGGGGTAGGTTAACACACATGTGCATAAGATCAAGACCACAATTTTTCTGTGCATTGATTTATGTTTTTTGATGTACGGTTTTGACGCATTTACTAAAAAAAATTATTTGTTAAAGAAAACGTCAAAGTGTCATTTTTACTTTGTCGTTCTGAAATCAATGTCATCGTGTACCAGAAAAAGTGGCAGCAAGATACATATGCATCCGAGTGCAGAATTGTTCTCCTTACTGTCTGATTAAAAGAAGAAGGGGTTATGAATGTAAAATGAAAATACGTAAAAAATACGATTTGTGTTCTATCCTAATTCTTTATGTACAAGTGTTGAATTCCCTCAGACTTGATACCATCGACCAGATAAGGTGTTTTGTGAAAAAATAAAATAAAAACAATGACAGGAAACTTAAAAGAAGTGACAATGTTTGGATTTCAACTCTTAATTCCCTTGCGTTTTACTGACAAACACTGAACGAACAAGCAATTAGAATGTAATGTAACAGCATGATATGTGTGTGTGTGTTTTTTTTTTACCTATTTGGAAATTTTACTATAGAAAACTATATAGCAAACTAATAACTTTTCTATAAGCAGCTTCCCTTGTTTAAGTACCAGTATACTATTATAACCTGCATATGTAGTTTATTTTCTCCCAGTTGATTCGATATGCAAAAGCAGGTTCTTCGTATGTAAAATTCTTAAAACAGGCAAGCTACTGACAAATAAGTTGATGATACAAGAATATCAAAAGTCTCGTTTACAGTCAACATTTTGCAATTTTTTTGGTCGATACAATGACCTTGTTAGCGAAAACAATCGATCGGTAAGTCGAATTTTGACTGACGTTTTTCATACAAATTGTTAGGCCCTATTTTCACACTGAATTGTCTACGGATTTTTCTGTTTTCCCGATTATGACAAGGAGCACACAGAAGACAGGTCGACAAGGAATGTTTATTCCTCCATGGCACATGATTCCACATCTAATGTTTTTAGAGGTCCGTGTTTGATTTGCTCCAATGTAATGTTTTAATGGACATTTGAGCTTGATTACTGTTCCTTATTTTCATATTTCTTGTGATTAAAAAAATTCGCACAGACTAGCTAACAAAAATGCTATGTGACAAACGGGATGACTTCCGAATCGGCTTTCCATCGCCAGCTTGTTAAATGTATTTATGTAGTAATACATGTATTTCAATATCGGATGCATATGGTATTTAAGTTTTTTTACTTATTCGATACACTAGAGCATGCTCTGAGTCAATCATCTTTTAAACAGAGGCCAGATACTGACAAATAAAATGATGTTACAGGGCATTGAACAGTCTCAATTAAAGCCAGCATTTTGAAAATCCCTGGGTCGGTGTAGTCTATTTATCATAGCAGACTGGTTGTTTTATTTGAAAGATTTAATAAGACCAACATATCATCCAAAGCTTATACTTATTTTACGTATACGAACAATTTGGCCAACAGGAATCTTTATCTCTTATCCAAAAAGAAACTTACTTGTATATGTATATCCCTACAAGGAGTCATAATGCTATGTCGGTCATTTTCTTCACGTAAGATAAGCAGATTTTTCAGGATGGTGTCACGTTTTCTACAGGAAAAAGGTCATTTTTCGCCCAAGAATAATGACTGGGTCATTTTCCGGCATGGAAAAATGACCAAAAGTCATTATTCTAAGGGGGGTTACTTTCTTAATTTCTTACTTAGTTTTTACGTAGACTACTACAGTGTACCTACAATTTATAATTACCACGGAGACAGAAGTACTTTAATAGCTTGTTTAGTAATATCTAAGTTCTTAAATGAATAATTATGGATGAATAGCTTTAGGAAACATTACTGCCTATCAATCAACTTTCATGAAATGAAATTATTTTCTTCTGTTTATTTATCAAAAATAAATAATGAAATGATTTTTAAAAAAAAAAAAAGAAAAAAAAAAAGATGAACTTTCCCTACAATACCTACAGTCCCAAGCTCACGGGTTACTAAAGCCGCCTCGATGAAAAAGAATGATACTGTACTTTTCGGTTTAAAACCACAGTATCTCGAAAAAATATTAATAAGTATAGATTTTCGTTCTTACATATTAACATGAGAGACGTAGAGAAGGTCGAATATTTTGCCATGAATCATAAATTGTAGAAAGTAAAACAAACAAACAAACAAACAAATAAGAAAAAAAGGAAACGCAAAAACAAAAAAAATAAATAAATTAAAAAAAAACAAAACAAAACAAATTAAAAAAAAATAATAATAAAAAATTTCACACAGCGTTGAACAAGATGGCAAATTAGTTTTACTCCCGCCGATTAGACAAATGTTTTATATACAAATGAGAATATTGATATGTGGGTCTAGATGAAGTTTCAAATCACAACGGACTTGAAAAAATTTTTGCAAAAAAATCACTATTCAAACTGGGTGCAATTGAATTTTACATTGCCAAGATATCAAAAGTGATAAATGAAGTAAAATTACTAAGTTTGAGATGATGGTATGTATCGATTGTTACCATCAGTCTTCTCTAGCACAAAGTATCATCAGGTGGTCCCCAACATTTTTTTTTAAAGAAAAAAAGGTTAAAAACTTGTTATAAATTTAGAATTGAAATTTCACTGAAAGACCTGTTGCCTTTCCCCTGCAACTTCTTGTTGATGTAAGGTAAAATGTATCTAATTTTTTCTTGTTGAAAAGAGAGTTGGAACCTAACCCCCACCCCCTTATCCCGAAATATTTTTTTAGCTTTTGGTAGTTTTTTTTCTTTGCTTCTCAAAGTTTTTCAGGAATCTGGCTTGCCCTGCCATTTAAAAAAAACAATGAAACGTGCGTGATCCGCATTGATTTAAATTATTGTAGTAAAGTTTGAATAGAAACCGCTTAATTACTTGTATTTTTCTGATGCTGGAGTTATTTTCTGAATGCTTATTTGTATATTACAAGTAACACTAACTGAATGTAGTTCTCAACTTTACTTTCTCTTCTTAGCACAATTTGCAGAAATGTGCCGTACTTTATATATAAGTTCAATATTATTTCATTTTACATGTTTAGCATTATTTGTTTATCTCTATTTTTTCTTTAAAAGATTAGTATGGGCGTCTTTAATGTCTTGAGGGACAATTAAGAACATAGTAAATAATAGAGAGGGCTGACATCCCATTAACATTTCTAGACGTTTATGATAAAGTTAGATGAAGATGTTTGGTCCCATTTCAATTGCGATTGAAATTAAGATTATTTTTAAATGTATAATTACATATATCATGTTGATGTAATAAAGGAAATAGATTAATTATAAATGGTCAGATCGATTAATAGTCCCAAAAATAAAGTGCTAGGGGTATAAATACTGGAGTGAGTTGCTGCTTCAGTACGAATCGCTCGACACAAACAAGTAAACTGCCGCCCGAAAATCAAAGGTATGATCAGTTTTATTCCATTTTTCAATGTTCACTCTATCCTTATTTTCATTTCACTCGGTAAATTCATCAACGATTTTCTGCTTTGTCATTTTTTTCCCTCATTTTAATATTATTTTGTAAAATTATTTTCTTCCTAGTTTGAAAGCAAGTTTTATATAAATGTTTAAGCAGTGCCTGATCAGAGTAAAATCTGCTATACGTAAAATCCCAATTTCTTAACAAAAAATTGAAAGCAATCCTTTCTTTTCAGACATGCTCAGAATAATCTCCTTTGCTTGTATTGTTGCTTATGTCTTCGGAGATACTAATTCTAACCATTATTATAATGGACCTGGATACAATGACATAGGATACGGCGTGCAGACCTACAACATGCCTTATGGATTCCAGAACAACTATCAAGGCGGTTTTAATGGCGGTGTCGTCGGAAGTTACTTTCCGCAGTACTTTGATTATAGTTTCAACTTTGGTGGTTCCGCTGCAGCTGGTGCTGCTGCCTCTGACGATTTTGGCGGTTCTGCTGCATCCTCTGCCACAGCTTCCGGTCTCGGCAGCGCAGCCGCCGGTGCTGCTGCCGCTACTGGCGCTGCTGCATCCGCTGCCACTGCTGTAGGATCTGGGATGTTCGGAAACCCTTATTACGTACCTTATGCTTCTTATCCATCATCAATGTATTACCCAAATCCTTTCGTAAACAGATTTAGATCCGGATATGGACGTTTTGCAGGGGGATTAAATTTAAATAGCGGATATTTTGGAGGAGTACCTAGATTCCACAAAAGACAAAGATCGGTGAGTATATATATATATATATATGCATAAATGTTTTTCATTTCTTAGACGCATGTGTATTTTGAAAACCTCTTCCTCTATGATTTAATTTTTTATTTTGTAGGTTTACTAAACAGGAGGACATACGAACAAAATTTGTGATAAAATGTCTCAGTTGCGTAAGAATTCAAATAAAACAAATGCAAAATACCGTCTTTTATTAATTTCATGAACTCGTTTTTGCTAGCGCTCTCGAGCGCTAGCAACTACGTTAGTCTATATTTCTGAAATACGCATGCTCGACTTCACGGTCGGGGATTCTGGGAAAACTACTGTAGATAGATTGTACAATAACAATTTCGTTTTGTCATACAAAAATAGAAATGATCCGAATTTCAGGCCTTTCCTGTCCGATATGCGCGATATACATTTCGTAGATTAGAGACAGTCAATACCAGTCTAGATCCGGATTCTGAAATTTTTTTATTTATTGTCTACCTACACATAAAAGTACAAGAAAAAATTTGGCCATATAATGCCAAGATTCTAGACATCTAGCTTTCCTTACAGTTTTACCACCTTAGTGGGTAATTCCAGCAAGCTCGGAAACAACAACAACAAAAATCTTTTTCAGAGTATGTCGGGAAGACATGTCAATTTAGTGTTTATCATCTGAAAATACATATGATCTGAAGTTTCGTGTTCTGTTGTCTAACCTGCACGTAAATGAACAAAAAGTAACAGTAACACGGGTCTTATAAAACCAAGGCTGTTATTTCTAAAGTTGTAATGAATACATAGCTTTTCTAATAGACCTTCATGGACCTTTCCGGCAAGCTCGGAAAACCGCAGCAACCTCGGATATGTTTTCCGAGCTTGCCGGAAAGGCCCGAAGGTGCTCAGTGGTTCTACTGACCTTTTATTTTTCACCTCGAAATTGAAATTACACAGAAATACAGATTGCTTAACACAGTTAGGGGTTATGCCATTGCCGACGTGAAGCACACTCTTAGATTCACCATTCTGAATTGTGACACCCCCCCCCCCCCAAACTCAACCCCCAGTGCACCAATCTGCCTTCCTATTAATAATTAATCGATTCAGCAAATTTAACAAATGGTTCAGATATCTTTTTCTGTATTTTATTATGCTACAGCGCTAGCTCACCAATCTTTTTAAAAGATAAGTTTGTATAATGTAAAGTCGGTCGGTGATTCAGCATTGGTAGAAAAGTAAAGACGTCTTAAAATAAATATGTACAGATGATATATATATATATATATATATATATATATATATATATATATATATATATATATATATATATATATATATATGAAGTAACATGCGTCTTTGGATGAATCAACTTACTAATCAGCCTTAAACAAAGAGAAAATAAAACTGAATCTGAGTGAAATTATGGTTCTTTGACGCTTCCATATTATCTCTTTTGTTCTATTTTAGCTTATCTTTACGAGGTTCGATGATAATTAAAAAAAAAAAAAGAAAATTAATCGACAGCTGCATCAAACGAAAAGGTTTCAAAAGCTTACAGAACACCAATGTGTTGTTTACGACCTTATGATGATAATTCATTTCACAGAAATTGTTGGTGTTGGGAAAATCCTGGACTAATGAAATAAGACGTTTGGTACTCAGTCCTTACTTAATGTTTAATTTAGAAGTTTCATCTCATGTATTCATGTAAAGATGAATATTTATATTATTTAGGAAGTTTTGCCCATATGATTTTTTTGGAGGAGAGTTGGGGGTTCACTCCCTATGTGTAAAAAGGTAAGACGGCGATTCCACTTGTTTCTGTATCTGAATACGGGGGATGTAATAAGGTAACTATTTTCACATAATACGTAATATCAACACCCTCTGTATTTGACCACAGGGTATAGCAACTATAGGAGATTAATGTACAAATAATGTTTTCTTTCTAAATTTATCTAGACTTCTATTTAATTCTAGTTAATTTAATTCTAATTCAAATTGTGGTCTAAAACGTAATATGTCCTTCCATTCTAAATAATCTGATTGAAAAAAAATATGTTTGTCATTAAAGCATATGCAAAGGTTAACTTTATGTTTATACAAAATATGAATTAGTATGTACTTGGTCAAATCAATATAACATTATTGAAAAAGGGTGAGGTGACAAGACGAGCTGAAAACTGCAAAGTGCATGCGCAAGGGGAAGGGGAGGGGGGTATAAAATGATCTGCTTTTTATGAATCTCATAACTTTTAAATTAATTCCAGTCAGTATTTAAAAAAAAAAAAAAAAAAAAAAAAAAAAAAAAACCAAGAGAGCTTATTATTTTAAAAAAATGTCCATAAAGATATTCTTTAACAATGAAAAAGTTATATTGTATATTTAAATGACCGCCAAGTATTTTCTTTTCCAAGTCATTCACAATAAAAAGTAGGTAAATTGATTTTTTTTAAAAAAAAAAAAGACGCACCATAGTTCTGAATCAACAACTCTCAATACATTACACAAGGAAAAAAGACGTCAAATTAATAAATAAGAACAAAGTCATATATGCAAATTTAACACATCTATCACTTTTTATGTCAAGTCATGAATTAAGGGTCTCTTTCGTACAGTCTGTGTGTAGAACTTAATGACTAAGAGATTAAAGTACAATCTGAAACAAAGAAATATTATTCCTATGTACCTATATACGTTATGAGACCTACTTGAATTATCAGCCTTTTTAATACAACGAGTATCGTAAAATGATTTTAAGGATAATACCATATGAACAAAGAAATAATGCTTTAAAATGTATAATCACCTCATTAATTTGGTCAGTCATCCCATGGGATTACACTTCCTGATTAAGAAAAAGTTATTTAAAAAACAACTGACGGTTAAAAATTGAATACACTGTTACAACGCGAAATGTAATAACAACGCAAAATGTAATAAACCGGGATTTTTACATTTTGCGTTATTACATTTTGCGTCGAGATCAACGCAAAATATAATAAGTTAACACGATTTTTGGATTATTACATTTTGCGTTGGAATTAACGCAAAATGTTATGATGCACTTTTTGGTTGTTACATTCTGCGTTATTTATTTTTTGCATTGAAGAAAACGCAAAATGTAATAAAACTAAATGTAATAAAACAAATATAATTATTTTTTTTGTATTGTTTTCCACGCGAAACATCACAAAATTGATTTAAACATATAACAATGAGGAAACTCGAATTACTAAACAGACAGACCTTAGATTATAAGACAAACGTTATGGCTTTAACGAACATTACTAAATCTAATAGTATATTTTTAAACTCTGTTTCTAACTGTACATTGGTTAGCAAATTAAAAGTGCATGTCTGTGTGTGTGTCTGGTGAGGAGAAGCGGGGGGTAGGGGTTACTTCGTATGTTGATCATTGTATTTTTATGTGCATGAAGAAACAATCCACTTTATTGTTGGAGAGAGAGAGAGAATTTATTTTTGCTGGTCTGCAATGCACATGATTTGTAAAGCAGCGTGCTATCTTAATTGTCAAGAAACCCCCTTCCCGCTACATTTACACTTGCCAGTAAAAATAAATAGAATTCTTTTCTAAATTTCGTATATGTACCTATGAAAAAGCAAAAGCAAACCGATACACTGATCAACGAAATACCCCCCCCCCCCCCCCCCACACACACACACACGTGTACACGCACATTTCTATTTTGTAACATCTATGATTTGAATATCAACTGATTTTAAATGGCTAATGATATCAAAATATGATGAAATCAGATCTATTGTAAGAATAAGCATGATTTTTTTTTGTTTTATTTTCCTTCCGTTTATTTTCTTCATCCACAACTCAACTGAAAATTATTCTCAATCTGACCGACCAAAAATGTGCGTTGTTTTTTGCGTTGTTGTATTTTGCTTAATCTCGACGCAAAATGTAACAACTCAAAATGTAATAATCCAAAAATCGTGTTATTACATTTTGCGTTATTACATTTTGCGTTGATCTTAACGCAAAATGTAATAACGCAAATTGTAAAAATTCTTAAAAGTGTGTTGTTACATTTTGCGTTATTACATTCTGCGTTGATATCGACGCAAAATGTAATAACGCAAAATGCAATAATCCCGGTTTATTACATTTTTTGTTGTTATTACATTTCCTTGCAAAAATACACATACAGTAGTTATAGATTATCACAGGAATGCACATGCATTGACTTACATGTATATACATCCATAAAAGACATTTCTTAATTTAAATGCTGTTATCAACTATATATACACCGAAACAAGATAACTTTGATGATATACACACTCAAAATGCATTTATCGACACATATCACATTTAGTATAGGTCAAGGTCATGACACCACAGGCACAATATATTCATGTTAGTTAGCACTAACTTATATCACATATAAGTCAAATCTTAGAAATTGGTTTCACCGTTTAATTTTTAATTAAGGAAAGATTATTAAATCTGATTTTAATAAAACGACAGATACTTGAATTCATTTCCTTTTGCATAGATTGAGAATTTATAAAAACTGTGAATATGAAGAAGATCGGCGGAAATAAAAATTACCGTGATTAACATAATTTTTTTAACGAATTATCAGCAAAAAAAAAGTAGCATTTAATAATTAAAAAAAATGGCATTTTTACATTTTAATGAAATTTTACAAGGGGTCACTTGGAAGGAGTAAAAGTTGCTCAAAAACCCTTAACATTTTACAAATTTTATGTTATATACACCGGGGTCTGGAAGATTGTTGAATAATTGAAGTGTACACAGAGTCCTGGTGACGTTACAGCTGACGTATTTAGGAAAGCTAGATACCTGAATGTATGATAATCGTCCCTCCAATAATTAAAATTTATTTCTTTGTAACAAATTTTGGTTTCTATCTTTGTGAATCAGTTTTTTTATTATGAGATTCAATTGTTTATTTATTCTTATTCTTAAAAGAATTAATATTAGTGTATGGAATTTGAAAGGATATATTATTAAAATTGCTCTAGGTTTAGAAAGCCTTAAACAGTTATTTTGACAAATATTAGTAACGTATATTCTTCCAGTGAGCGACCACAAGGAGCCGAGATTTTGTCTTTGAAGTATTCAACACGAAAGATTTTGCATTTGAACATATCAAGTCATATATGGGATAAATAGAATAAAACTAAAAAAAGAAATATCATTATCCTCAATATTCATTTTTGAGAACTTCATGAAATAGAATAACACATTTTTAAAACAATAATTTTTGAAAAATAATATCAAAAGACTTCCGAACATAGGCATCTCATTCTGTCAATCATTACTTGATTTTTAATTTCCATAAATTTGATTACCAATTCATTTGACATTGCCTAGGCAACCATTTCGAACCAACATTCCACAATGACGTCATATCTTTTAAATAATATATAAGGAGAACCTTTGTTCTAACACTTTGTACAGCCCAACAGTTGTCCAAGACACAAGACCGAACACAAGAAGGTAAGGTATTTTCATTTTTCCCCTGAATTTTAAATTACAGCAATAAAAACCGTGAAATAGACGAAAACTTTGAAAATGTTACGAAATCATTTGTTAGAGTATATTAATTTTGAACAGTAAAATTTTGAGAGGTCTAAAAAGTAGAATCAAAACCATAATTTCATTTACGAGACTATTCATTATTAATTTTCTAGAGTTCAAAGCCTTTCCTCACCATACTTCGATTTCGTTAACCTGTGCACTTTTAAAGTTAATTTTTATTCAAATAAAAATAGTTGTTTGTATCAAACAGTGTTTCTATTGCTAGAATGAATTTCAAACTTTTTAAAAATAATTGTATCACACAGAACTGAATATTAAATATTAAATCACTTCGATTAAAAATTGTTAATTTCTCTCCTTCCACAGGATGCTGCGATTCATTGCTCTTACATGCGTTGTTGCCTGCGTTTTCGCAGACTTCTACCCCAAGTCTGGTGGATGTGGACCGTATGGTTGTACCTACGGTTTCCAATCACAGGGTCCATATAGTAACTTTGGAGGACTTGTGAGCACTGGTAGCACTGGGTTGAGTACTGGAGGCTTCAACACTGGATTGTTCGGTCTTGGTGGTGGATCAGCTGCCGCTAGCGCTGCCGCTGCTGCTGGAGATGCTGCTGCTTCCTCTGCTGCCGCTGCTGCAGGTGGAAATGCTGCCGCCTCTTCCGCTGCCGCTGCTGGTGGACTAGGTTGGAACCAATACTACAATCAATACGGTTATTATCCAGGGCAATACAACTACTATCCTGGAACCTATAACTTCCTTTCTGGATACAACTTTTACCCAGGACAATACTACTCCAGCTATTATCCTACACAGTTCCCATACTACGGAATCGGAGGTGGTTCTGCTGCCGCTGCTGCAAGTGCATCAGCTGCCGGACAAAGTGCCGCCGCTTCTGCTGCTGCCGCTGCTAGTCAGATAAATGCCGCTGCCTCTGCCGCCGCTGCCGCTTCCTCAGGATTCAACGGCTTCAATGGAGTCGGCAACGGAATCGTTGTTGGTGGTGGTTACGGAGTCCGAAGACCCAGAAAGGTATGCTTAAGTATTTAAGAGCATAATATCAATCACTTATTTGACACAAATACATTAGTTTTTAAATCCCGGTTTTCGTCTACGTGATAAAAATAAACAAGAAATTCATTTATTTTAATCAGAATTCCAGTTTTGATCTGGTTAGATGTTGAATGACTCTCCTTTAAGTAAAAATAACCTCTTTTTGTATGCCAGTTGATCTGAGAAAAACTCATTTAGAAAGAAATCGTTTCTTGACTTGATAAATTGACCAATAATATTCTTTTTCAATAATTTTCAGGTTTACTAAATAAATGGGAACGACCAGAAGATTGTGTATGGGACTGAATGATTGTGATTTTTTTTATACATTAAATACTTTATTTATGCAGCATATATAAATCTTGTTTGTTTTATTTGCCTTTAATTTTTTAATTGTGATAACATACATTGCACATGTATATGTATCAAGGAAATTTGAAGAAAACGAACAGTATTCAATCTCAAAAGTCCAATGAAACGATACAAATTTGGAGCAGAGCAAACACGGACCTCAAAATTTAGAGGTGGGTTCAGGTGCCATGGATGAGTGAGCATCCTCTGCCGACCGGTCACACCCGCCGTGTGCTCCTTGTGATCGAAAATAAAACTAAAAATTCGTAGACAGATAAATAATGATCTAACTATTAGTATGAAAAACGTCAGTCAGCATTTGTCTCAATGATAGTTGTATGTGCTGGTAAGTTCATTCATACACTTAAAACTTGCGAATTGATGACTTCAAACAAGACTGTTGAAATCCTTGTTTCATCAACTTGTTTGTCAATAGTTTGCCTTGTTTTAGAAATTGTTCATACGTATAGCAGGCTCTTGCGTATCGAATCAACTGAGAGACAAAAACCCCAAATGCAGTGAATAAGGGTATATTGCATATAAGTAAGGGAAGTTGACGATTGAAATGTTGAAGTCATCACGTTTATCATAAAGCTTTGTTGTTAGAATACCATTAACGTCTTTTTCTATTGAAATATGTAAATCTGAAACAGATGTGTCAGACTTTGTGGTATCTTTTATTTCAAGCTCACTGGGATATATCAAGTCGATATATGAATGGAAGTAACTATTGTTAATTGATAATACGTCGTTGATATATCGAAATATCGAGTTGAAGGTCACAGCAAGTTTTTTAAATAAATTCTCTTCATATGAATACAAAAATAGGTCTGCTAATAAGGGGCGCAATTGGTACTCATGGGGATTCCAACAGATTATTGGAAGACCTGATCTCCAAAAACTACATAGATATTATCAATGTATCACAACGGATCGATTTCATAATACTTTAGAAACTACATTTATACTCAAAAAAAAAAAATCAAATCTTTACATACTACAATTGTGGTTGTTAATTTTGAACAAAGTTGCCAGTTATGATTTAAAGCAAATATTTTTTTAAGCATTTAAATAAACACCAACCATTAACAATAGACAAAATATATTATGTCACACTAAAAATTATTTAAAGTTGAAAACACTTTCAGACCTAAAGGGTTTATTAGTAAATGGAAATACAAAAAATGTCAATTTCATGCTACGGAAATTCGTATCGTTTTTCAGTACAAGAAAAGAATAAAAAAAAATGAATGTTTACATGTGAAAACAAATGAAGACATTGTATGTGCATCAATTCTTGGATGCTACAATTTTAAATCCCTTACCTCTCGAGATTGAACGAAGTTTGTTTAGAACTGAAAATAGATGGTGACTGTTTCTTCTCTAAACGCTCGGTATTTAATGGGGCATAGACACACTTGCATACAATTTTTAATTTCTCTATTTACTTGAAAATTAACATCATTTATTAAATTTAAGTTACATAAACATTTTAAATACTCAATGATAACATCATTCTTTATTACCTTACAACAAACACCTGTGTTTGTAAACATGGATTAAAGCTCTGCTATTTGTCTTTGTTTACGCTTAACCAAGTGTGTTTGATTTTCTTACACTGCACACATCACTGAAGACTGCCTTCTTGCATTTCTATTCGGACTTTTTTTTTTATTATAGTTTTAATATTTTCATGAAAACATTGTACTCTACGGATTTTCTACCTTTCTTAAATATTAAGGATAAATTTTAGTTCGTGAAAGTGCAGTAATATATGGCAATTAAACACACCCGAAGTTTTTATAATTTTCAGATAAAAGGAGTATCTATAAACACACTTTTATAAAACAAGTATACCAGGGTGAAACGATCTTGCAAAATAAAAGTCATGAAATTCTGTCATGAATTTTGAAAGATGTAAACTTTAATCTTACGTCTATGTCATCTTAAAATCATAGCTACGTGTCTTTCGATCTGATGAGATTAAAAAAAAAAACATGAGAAAGGATAGGCGATGGAGCGAGAAACTGCAATAAACTGGGCCCAGATCAGGACTTGACTTAGAACATAACTGTTTATATTTTAGTATCCAGACGTATGTGCTCTATGTCATGAAAGATTCTTCTTGATATTTATAATGAATCAGTCTTTAGTCTGTACTTGAGATTCATGGAGTCACGACTTTTAATTTTTATCTTTTTAAATTGGAAATCGTGTCTTTCTTACTTCCATATATATATTTTGATAAATAGTTGATTTTTATTTCTTCCACGCTTATGTATTTATCTATAAAGACATATACATTTGTTTTATCTTCGATCTATTGTAAGAAGCTGTGGTTTGTGTATAAAGAGCTAGGTTCACATAAAATGGCCCTCTCCTTATATCAATAAATTGACTATCACCCTCTGTCTCATTTCATATATCAAAATAAAGAGAGACTTAGTGCTTTCATTTCCTATAACAAAATTTCATTTTGAGAATCCAGGTATTGGAAAACAGGCTTTGACAAAATGCAATGTTCTTGAATTTTGCAGAAAACAGGCGTATTTGACTACCTTCCGGAAATAATTAAAATATGAGCACAGCCCACGATCCAAAAAAATAAAACATGTTTTGTGATCTTCAGAAACAGATCTTTCATTATGTAATTGTATAATTTGGATCAGAGGTTGTGCTCTATATGAAATATTGAAAAAATACCTCAACTTTTGGCTTTTTTTAAGGGAATTTATAGGATATGGGAAAAACTACGCATTTTAACCTCATAATGCATTGACTAGAGAGAAAATTACGTCATGTTCAATAGATACACGGTCACCAAGGGTCCAAGTTATAAATACTGCATTTTCAACCAAAACTAAGCAGTTCCGATTTTTCAGAAATTCTCAGTGCCAGAAAGGCCCTAAGTGGCTCTTGCTCTTTATATCCTAATTTAATGAATGAAATACTCAAGTTTTGAACAAGAGCTCATTAATTTTACTGAATAGGCTAAAATAGTCTTAATCTAAAAAATGCAAATGATTTCTGAAACAATCTCATATCAAATATCTTATATCAAAGATTTTTATGCTTAAAATTTATATCTGTCTGTGAGATTGGAGACTTTATGTAACTTACAAACTTACCAGGAAGAATATAAATCTACAATGTTATATTTACAATGTAGATGGACAACAGAAGGAACAGTAATATATTCTGACTGGCTTTAACTTTTAAGCCGCCTGAGTAATTTGTTTAAGAGATGCTTGAAATACTTCAGACATGGAATTGGGTATCACAAGTTGTAAAAATTCTGATTAAGTGCTTACTAACATTAAAAAAGAACACTAATTGAAAGCCATTCTCTGTAATGACTTGTGGCACACATAGTGTCAAAATTTCCCCCAAACTCTTTACCATGAAATTCTTTGATATTATAAACTCAAATCAGGCAAAATTTTTCGCTTTGTGTCACGGTTACCATGCAACATCCCCTAAAGTGTGATAAAAATGGCATTTTGGAACATGCTCAGACTCCCACAGTTAACGTTTGCAGCAATGCAAACAAATGGCAACGAATATTTTCAAAAGTTGAAGGCTTGAAGTCTTAAATGCATGGTAAAAATATTTTGGAAATAAATTATTACATACATTACTATTGAAACAAAGTATTCAAAACTAATAATTTTTTCATTCAATTATGGAAAGTCTTCCTGAAAAATAAAAGCAATTATAGGTTGAAATCCAACCAAAACTAAAGAAAGATACTTGTAAGATATACCAAGAACGAAATGTGGTATGTCTTATAGGGTGGCGATGGTTGCCATGGTTTTAATAGCGCAAAGGGTTTTCAAATTTACTCTCAATATGTTTTAATCTGATCCTATCTTTTTAAAAAGGACATTTCTACATAATTAGTGATGGCGTGGTCCTAATTTTCAAATTTCAAATTAACTTCTTGAAATAGAGCGTTGCTATAGAAATTTTACCAAAAAATATGTATAAAAAGCTGAAAAATATCTGTTTCCTTGGATGCGTGCCCTTCTATGTAGATTTCCAAATCTTTTTTGATTGATAGTTATGAACAACTAACCTAACTTTCAAGTTTGACTACCAATCTCTGACTAAATGTATATTGGCTGGTCTTGAATTATCTTGTTTTTCCTCAAGATAGCAGCATTAATCGAAGCTTAGCAATGATATTTGTATGGCTACACTGTGTTACCATGGCAGCCATGCATCATTTTTAGAATAATATTGACACTACCTTTTTACTTTAGGTCAAATATTTTTATTGTTTTTCTTGTGTGGTTGCTGAGTTTGATAATATAACACCTATCAGAAGTGAATATCGAGGGTGTTTTTAGCATTTTTAAGCAGTTAAAATGTATTCCAAATGTACCATTGTTAACACTTACTTTGAGATATAGTATAAATAGTTTTTTTTATAGCATAAGTGGCAACAACGTGTAATGTTTTTGTTAACATGGTTATTCAGATTCTTTAATCTTTGTTAAAATCGATAAAGATTTTAAGTAGCTGAAAATATCAATTTTTCAATTTTTTTGGCTATTAACATGGCAACCAAGACACATATTAACTGATTTTTATTTGATATATGTTTTTGGTGTCAATTTTTAATAATGGACAAAGTTTCATAAAAATCGATGATAATGTGTGGCAAAAGGGTTTAAATGAATACAGAGAATAGCATTAAGTACATGTACAAATTAAATTGCAATCTCATTCAAAAACATTTAAGGACATATGCAACGTAGTTTTGAGTTTTATATACTTATTCACTGTATAATTTACGAGTTCCAGTGATTGAAGGATCTTTGTGCGACTTTTATAATGTGTAATGATCGATGCTGCTCACCTCTTCTAAATCAAATTTAGAGGAAAACAGCAAAAACCTTTCTTTTGTTAATTTTTCTTTTAATAACATAAATATTTTCATCATTTGATATTTGTTCAAAACCTCTGGTAATGAATGCTGATGTTTTGTCTCAGAACATCTGATGGCA